GTAGTATTACATTGTAATAGGACAGTGTTCACTAAGAACCCTACAGTATGACTAAGTGTGTTTGAATAACAAGTAACCCTATGGTAGTGCTACATTGTAATAGGACAGTGTTCACTAAGAACCCTACAGTATGATTATATAGAGGGGAACCAGATAGAGGGTGATTCTTAACGATCACTTTACCAAAACCGTACGCCTGTCTTCTTTGAATACGTCTACTGAAACCGTACACTGGTTGTTTGAATACGTCTAATGAAATCTTACACCTGGCTATTTGAATATGTCTAATGAAATCGTACACCTGGCTATTTGAATATATTCACTGAAACCGTATACCTGGCTATTTGAATATGTCCACTGAAACCGTATACCTGGCTATTTCAATATGTCTATTGAAATCGTACACTTGGCTTTTTGAATATGTTTACACACGTTTTGCTTGGTTTCCTAACAAACTAAACAAATCTCGTGCACGAGATCAAGGACGAGACTCTTCGTAGTTAACCATTACGTGTATTCTGTACGAGTGAAATAAAGTCATGTGTCGGGAGAAAAAAACTGTAGCCTTGACATATTGTTAACTAGAAAGAAAAATTAAGTAACTTATTCCTAAAAAAGAATATATAAAACATTCTCCGAGATAAATTACTTAGCTCGTATTTTGTTTTTATAAATTTAAACAAAACATCTGTTAGTATAAAGAATTGTTCAAGGTGTTGGTCGCATCGTGTCATAATAAATGTATAAATATTGTACATTGCTGGTCAAATTAACATTATGCTAGATTTAGATATATTGTATATTGTTTGTCACACAACATTATTATAGATATAAGTATATTGTATACTGTTTGTCACATAACATTATTATAGATATAAGTATATTGTATACTGTTTGTCACATAACATTATTATAGATATAAGTATATTGTATATTGTTTGTCACACAACATTATTATAGATATAAGTATATTGTATATTGTTTGTCACACAACATTATTATAGATATAAGTATATTGTATACTGTTTGTCACATAACATCACGGTAGATTTGTAAATATCGTATATTGTGATTCACTTAACTTTACGATAGATGTAGAAGGATTGTGCTTCTGGGCTGTTGCTTCAGTAGACGTTATAGTACCAGTATATCAAGAAATTCGAGTCTCTGTATGCTGGAAACAGAGTTATCTGTTGACTCACTAGTCTGTTGTTGAAGTAGACATTATAATACCGCTACATCAAGAATTTCTGGTCTCTGTATCCGGGGGGACACAGTTATCTGTTGACCCACTAGTCTGTTGTTGAAGTGGACATTATAAAACTGGTACATCAAGAATTTCTGGTCTCTGTATACGGGGGGACAGAGTTATCTGTTGACCCACTAGTCTGTTGTTGAAGTGGACATTATAAAAGTGGTACATCAAGAAATTCGAGTCTCTGTATCCGGGGGACAGAGTTATCTGTTGACTCACTAGTCTATTGTTGAAGTAGACATTATAAAACTGGTACATCAAGAATTTCTGGTCTCTGTATCCGGGGGACAGAGTTATCTGTTGACCCACTAGTCTGTTGTTGAAGTAGACATTATAAAACTGGTACATCAAGAAATTCTGGTCTCTGTATCCGGGGAACAGAGTTATCTGTTGACCCACTAGTCTGTTGTTGAAGTAGACATTATAAAACTGGTACATCAAGAAATTCTGGTCGCTGTATCCGGGGGACAGAGTTATCTGTTGACTCACTAGTCTGTTGTTGAAGTGGACATTTGAAGTAATATTTGCCTAATAGTTGTTCACACTTTATTTAATAGAATAGGTGAATCTCTTTTAAAATGTCATTTCATAAAGTTCTATAAGTAAATATGTTACAATGTCCACCAGATTCAGCATTTTCTATTAGTAAAGCCAGCAACCGCTAGATGTCACTAGAATACAAACATTTGAATAATAATAAAGCAGCGTAACTGTAGTTCTGTGATATTACAGTTGTTCTTTAAACTTAGCCTTCAACAATAAAACAATGTAACTGTAGTTCGTTGTGATAACCAGAACTTCCTAGATATACGCCTATTATAGATCTTACAGACGTTATCCTAAAACAAATCCACCTTGTCCAGTAACGACCTTATTTCGTATGCCTGTTAGTAAAGATCAAGGAGTGTGTCCCACTAGGATATTTTTAGACGACAAAATGTGTGAAGGTTTTGTTCAGATCTTGCCATATTAACTACAACCGTGCTATCTAAGAGTTGATAGTTGGCCGTTAGCAGGAGACTGGACAAATCAACAGTTACCGTGTTGTGTACAAATTCATCTCAAAGCTTTTAAAAAAGAAGCAAAATCCATCCATACACATAACCAAGTAGTTTTAAAATGGTTGTCTAATCTACTTTCCGTGTTTTGTGCTCTACAGTTGCCACACGAAATATTCTCTCGTTCATTAAGTTGTCTTGTACCATTGAAAATATATAATATAAAATAAATAGAGGACCTGTAGAAAAAACATCTTATATCTTATAACATGTTATATCTGCATCGAAACTAAACTGAATGTTAGATTTTAAATAAAAGTTTTCTTTTTTGTTTGTTTGTTTTAGAGCAAAGCTTCATTTGGGCTATCTGCTATGTCCACCGCGGAAAATCGATATGCAGGTAGTACTGCGTAATATTCAAAATCAATAAGCGGATAACCTCATAAGATAAGCCCCTATATCAAATACGACATAACTGTACTGACAAGTTGATGTCCTTATGTCGTAATATATCCTTTTGGATATACAATCTTTGACAAACGTAAATTAACATGTTTTTTTTTTGTTTTTCCTGGGTAAGGATATTATCATACTATTTGGAAATAACTCAACGTATTCCCCTGATGGTTTAGCTTTGAGCTAAACAAACAACCAAAGACTCAACATTAGATTTTGCTGCTTCCACTGAAATGGCTATAAGGCGGGCCGCAGCAGACAAATTATGTCATTATTGCATACGTAACTAGGTACGTGATATTTTATCTTCCAAAACAATATGATACGGTTCAGTGTAAATGACAAATGCTGTTCACAGTTCATGTAAGAATTTCAAGTCGTGAAATATTTATTCGGAGTAACTCAAAGGTGAACATAAAAGACATTTGCTCAAATTTTTACATCTCCTGGCCAATTAGAAATTGTTTGAAAAAAATTCACTCGTCAGAAAGATATCTGTAGCTGAAATAATATAAGTAAAAATACCCTTTTCGGTTAATGTTATTTAATATTTGCATAATTTTTTGCTTACGATTTTTCCTATAAAAAAAAAGGATCCCAGTTTCAAAATATGAAAATCTTTGTCCATTCGAACCCCAGAATTTAGCGATGTAAGACCGAAAGCTTACCATTAACACACCGGAGAACATCTACATGATTGAGATTTGTATTTTTTTCTGATTTTATATTGCAATTAAACACGTGAATGATAATATGCTAATTTTCAAATATATCAGGAAAATAGTTTTTCTAGATATTTCTACTTTTAAATGATGAATAACCTTCACATTAAATATCACCAGTTGAAAATGGTCAGGTCGTTTAAGAAAAGTAATTGAATGGGCTTGTTTGTAATTAAGCATAAAGCTACACAATGGGCTATCTGTGCTCTACCCACCACGGATATCGAAACCCGGATTCTAGCGTTGTAAGTCCGCAGACATACCGCTGTGCCACTGGGGAGCTTTTTAGGTTTTAATTAACGCGCTGGTGATGGTATTTAAACATCTCTGAAACATCCGTAATTAAAGAAGTATTTTAGGATTACATTTTATTTTATTTGTTTGTTCATTGTTAAGCACAAAGCTACAATAGGACTGTCTGTGTTCCGTCTACCACCGGTATTGAAACCCAATTTTAATGTTATAAGTCCTAATACTTACCTAAAGCATTGCAACAAATTTGTAAATTTTAGTAATAACAATTACATTTTGGTAATCTGTATTCCTGCTTAATTGTTTTTAAGCTTATTTATGAATGTAAATGCTCATCTACTTTATAGTCTTTTCTAATTCCACGTACCCGCCATACCTTTATCATTTTATTCAGTACTCAAACACTAAAACATTAGATAGCTCGTTCTGTTATTTATAGTTCAATAAGATCAAACCACCTTTATGAGCATCCACTTAATTTTTCTTGCTCTTGATTTGTTAGAGGTAAATGTTTCTACAAAATTATGTATACAATTTTGCTACGTAATGTTATCAAACAAGCTAGCTGCTGGCTATAAAATATTCTGTAGTTATATGCATGAAATCCCTATCAAAAACATGTTAGTCTTTAACTGTTTCCCGGTTTACAGTAAATGAAGTTGGATTTGTTTATTTGATAAAATACTTTTACTATATTATTACAATTATTTATATAAATCTGTTAACATAATCTTTAAAGAAAAGTTTGGAAGCTTTGACTTCCTGTAGCCATCGTGTTACGTTATTGTACGGATAAAATATAGTAGTATACATGTGTAGTGATATAAATACTTAATTACAGAATAAAGCAGTATCTGAAACGTGAGAAACAGTAATATTGTTACAAGTATATACTATAACAATTTATAATGCCTCGTTAATTCAGGTTGTTATATAATTGCTTTATAGTTATATGCTGTTTAAACATATAACTTATATAACATACAGGTGTTTTTTGTTTTTGACTTTGTACTGTTTATTTTCTTAGCGATAAATAAGAGAGTGGGGCAGAAAAAAAAAATGGTAATAACAGAATAAAGAAATACACGTTTCTCCTTGTTAATAGTTTCATTTTTAACGAGCTTTTGATTACCGTGATTTTGAAATTAAAACAGCAAATCATTCAACCCTAAATTACTACAGCAGTTCTATGTGATTTCATGCAATTATATTTTGATAAAAATAATTTCATGCGTATGTAATATTATTGAGACTTTTATATTCTCGTTGTATTAGTGGAAACTTTTGAATACAATAATATATATATATATATTAGAGCTTGCGTTGAGGGGGGCCGAACCGGAACGCCGTTCCTGTTGTAAGAATGTTTTGTGAAAACACTCCTGTTATTAGAAAATTTTATGAAAACATTCCTATTGTATAATATTTAACGACATACGTAAATTTAAGGATAAGTTATAACAATCTTACTAATTTATATCGTTTATGTAGGCCTACTTCATAGTAGGCCTTCTTCGTGATGTGTCATTCTTCTCATTTGAGTTACTTTTCTGTGTCTGCATATATTGTGACTTCATCAAATAATCGAAATAATACACTCTGGCGGTTCCCGGAACCCCCGCTTCATTGGGGCTGGGAAACTGAGCTCCACCTAGAAAACTTTATACTAAAGTTCTGGTATATATTCAAAATGTATAGTTTTTCTTGAACAAAAATTTGGAGTCTATACGACTCCAGCAAAAATAGTAGTTAAGATTAAGGCCTGAAGAGGACTCAAGTGTAGTAGTGAAAAACTTGCTACAAACTACCTGTTAATTTTTAGGGAAACCTAATAATATGTCTCAAAGAATATTCAACAATCGATGATGAGCCATTTATAATTAACTTGTAGCTTGATATGTACTAACTGAATACTGGAGTATAGTTCTAGATAAATTAAACGTTCTGTTAAAAATGTATAAAAATACAGTAATACTTGAAATGCTATTGCCTTGGTACATGTTCCTGAACGTAAATTAATCATATTTAAACTTTCTTATCTGGACCCATGCTCATTCAAGATGGTATTTATACACAAGCCAATCAACAAGAAACACTGTGGTGTCACATGTCTACAACAATTAACATAACTATAACACAAACCAATCAATAATAAATACTGTAGTGTCACACATTTACAATAATTAAAATAACTATAACACAAGTCAATCAACAATAACCACTGTAGTATCACATGTTTGCAATAATTAACTATAACACAAGCCAATCAACAATAACTACTGTAGTGTCACATGTTTATAATAATTAATATAATTATAACAAGCCAATCAACAATAACCATGTAGTGTCACATGTTTGCAATAATTATCTATAACACAAGCCAATCAACATTAACTACTGTAGTGTCACATGTTTATAATAATTAATATAATTATAACAAGTCAATCAACAATAACCATGTAGTGTCACATGTTTGCAATAATTATCTATAACACAAGCCAATCAACAGTAACCACCTTGGTGTCACACATTTACAATAATTAACATAATACTATACCACAAGTCAATCAACAATAAACACTTTGTAGAAAGGAAATGACATTTGAGTTACATCATATACTGTTACATCATGATTCTACAAAATGTAAATATGAAACTTGTAAGTTATTGGTATCAGAAGGTATGTGTGTGTAATATAATATATGTGTAATGATATGATAATATATGTAGTGGTTATATGTGAACAAATGGAAGTACCTCAAGGAACAAATAGTGACAACTTAATTCCTAAAAACAGAACTGCTGTAGAAGCCAAATTTTGAGTAAATGTTACATTTCTTTCTGAAATCTTGAAATCACTTTCATGCTGTATGCTATGTGTTCTTTGCACAAGTTAAACAACCCAGAACTATTGTTAAATTCCAAAGAAATCATGATAAATTAGAGCTTTAATAAAACTGTACACATTTTTAATGGAAGGAAAGTTTAAATACAACTACTTATCCGTTATCATTTTTACAAATGTCCATAGATTATTTTAATGCAATACTTTAGTACACTAATCATATTTAAATAGAATCAGAAATAGGAAACATGTCAAACATAATTTGACTCTTATGTTTCCTGTGAGAATAAATATTATAGAATTTATTAACTTTCATATCTCTGTACATAAGAAGATGCTATTTTATGATTCCGTGCTGAGCTGTTCTGTTGTCTGTTTCTAAAAACAACTTTATAAACATAAAGTTTATAGTTTTTCAAATTACTCCTAAGATGTGTTTGGTAGCATTGTAAGCAAATTAATTGTTCATGTTGTTTTTCACTGAACAAATGACTGAAGTGTTGTTCAGCAGCTTAATCTAAAGGTGATTAATCAACTTCTACAGTATCTGAACCTGGGTTTAAATGTCATCTTGTTCAAAAGATTGAACCTAGAGACAATTAATCAACTTCTACAGTATCTGAACCTAGGTTTAAATGTCATCTTGTTCAAAAGGTTGAACCTAGAGATAATTACTCAACTTCTACAGTATCTGAACCTAGGTTTAAATGATATGTTGTTCAAAAGGTTGAACCTAGAAATAATTACTCAAATAGGTTCAGATACTGTAGAAGTTGAGTAATTATCTCTAGGTTCAACCTTTTGAACAAGATGACATTTAAACCTAGGTTCAGATATTGTAGAAGTTGATTAATTGTCTCTAGGTTCAACCTTTTGAACAAGATGACATTTAAACCTAGGTTCAGATACTGTAGAAGTTGAGTAATTATCTCTAGGTTCAACCTTTTGAACAAGATGACATTTAAACCTAGGTTCAGATACTGTAGAAGGTTTAAATGTTATGTTGTTCAAAAAGTTGAACCTAGAGATGATTAATTAACTTCTACCAAGTGTAGTGAGAAAGAGAGAGGGGAATAGTTATACTGTGAATATTTTCATGTATTTAGTGTTTTAAGTTTCATAATTATGATAGATAACTAAGGTCTGATGTAATAACTGAAAATCACTGTGTTTACATAGTATTTAATTTAGGTAAAAGTAATTTATCATTGTGTTACATTCACTGATTTTATAAACCAGTGTAGAAACAACTGTCATAATCTTTCAGGTAAAGATGTTTCCTTAATTTAGAAAAGTTTTTTTCAAAATCAAATAGATTCATGAGATTATATTCCTAACATAGTTAAAGGTGTTTTGAAATGTTACAGTGATGTTTTATCTGTACAGTCAAACTCGTACATTTTTTAGGATCCTGCAGATAACAATGTCAATCATCCTCAACATGAGAGTGTACTTTGAAACAGCTTGATCTCCAAGTACAGTGTTTTTGATAAGGATAGGCAACATAGAAATTGCATGGTGGTGGCTCAATAGAAACAAAACTCGGAAAATAAAATAAGAGAAAAAGTAACAGTATTGATTCTGTGCTATTGGAAAGAACCTGTCAGAGAAAGCTGTTAAATTCAACTTTAATATCTCATAAATGAGTTTTTGGAAGAAGAAAAAGAAGTCAAAATCCCAGTATTCAGATGTTTCTTCTGTAGGTAGGACAAGGTACGTACCATATTTTGGCTTGCTATGATACTGCTGAATCATACCTATCTCTTTATGATTGAATGAATTACTGAATGTTGAAACCACAGGCAAGGCTTAAAAAGGTAATGCTCATTTTAAGCACTATGGTATATATTTTTAAATGATCCCACACATTTTAGGGGGGGGGGGTAGGTTCATTGCAAAGGTAACCATCAAGTATTGGAGAGTGGGGATTATTGAATAAGTTAGTAATTGTTTCAGTATATAAACTTGGTGTCATTTATACTATGTAGTTTTTCATACATTAGTAACTATTGTACTTTCAAATATCTAGTAAAAATACCTGTTCATGATTATCAAAATTAAGGCATACAAGTTAAGTAATAAAGGTATGACAAAAATAATAATAATAACTAAGACTTACAGTATATGTCAGACACACTATATTTTAATTAAGTATCATTAAAGTTTGTGGAGATGAATCTTACCTCCTTTAGTAACAGCAGTGTGAAGCCTAAGCAGGCCTAACTAGACTGTTTGGCTTGTGGACATTCAGCATAACATGCCTGATAATTATGTTCTTTATTTATATTGACAGTTTAACATTTACTTTTTCATCTAAATTATGTTTACAACCAGAACTCAATATAACAGATTGCAACCATAAAACCTAAGAGATGACTAGAACCAGAACTCAGTAACACAGGTTGCAACCACAAAACCTAAGAGATGACTAGAACTAGAACTTAGTGACACAGGTTGCAACTATACAACCTAAAAGATAACTAGAACCAGAACTCAGTAACACAGGTTGCAACCATAAAACCTAAGAGATGACTAGAACTAGAACTCAGTAACACAGGTTGCAACCATAAAACCTAAGAGATAACTAGAACCAGAACTCAGTAACACAGGTTGCAACCATAAAACCTAAGAGATGACTAGAACCAGAACTCAGTAACACAGGTTGCAACCATAAAACCTAAGAGATGACTAGAACCAGAACTCAGTAACACAGGTTGCAACCATAAACCTAAGAGATGACTAGAACTAGAACTCAGTAACACAGGTTGCAACCATAAAACCTAAGAGGTGACTAGAACTAGAACTCAGTAACACAGGTTGCAACCATAAAACCTAAGAGATAACTAGAACCAGAACTCAATGACACAGGTTGTTGTTATAAAACCTCTGGTACCTGTTCACTCTTCAAGGATTTACAAAAAATAGTAGCAAGTGGCTCACATATCCAATAATTAACCTCCTTCAAAGCTCCAGGGGAAATATTATTATAGTTGGGATATTATAGTTGTCAGTATATGGGATATTAGTTGTCAGTGTGTGGGATATTATAGTTGTTGTGTGTGGGATATTGTAGTTGTCAGTGTGTGGAATATTACAGTTGTCAGTGTGTGGGATATTGTAGTTGTCAGTGTGTGGAATATTACAATTGTCAATGTGTGGGATATTGTAGTTGTCAGTGTGTGGGATATTATAGTTGTCAGTGTGTGGGATATTGTAGTTGTCAGTGTGTGGGATATTGTAGTTGCCAGTGTGTGAGATATTATAGTTGTCACTATATGGGATATTGGTTGTTAGTGTGTGGGATATTGTAGTTGTTGTGTGTGGGATATTGTAGTTGTTTTGTGTGGGATATTATAGTTGTTAGTGTGTGGGATATTGTAGTTGTCAGTGTGTGGAATATTACAGTTGTCAGTGTGTGGGATATTGTAGTTGTCAGTGTGTGGAATATTACAGTTGTCAGTGTGTGGGATATTATAGTTGTCACTATATGGGATATTGGTTGTTAGTGTGTGGGATATTGTAGTTGTTGTGTGTGGGATATTACAGTTATCAGTGTGCGGGATATTATAGTTGTCACTATATGGGATATTGGTTGTTAGTGTGTGGGATATTGTAGTTGTTGTGTGTGGGATATTGTAGTTGTTTTGTGTGGGATATTATATACACCTGGAAAAAAGTTAAGCACCCCCAAATATTTTTCAGGATTGCTTATTGAAAATAAGGTTTAATTTTCATGATGTTGAGCAATGTTCAAAATTTCAAACATAATTAAAAGGATGTGAGCGTTCAGGTGTGACATTTAAATCAGGCGCGTTTTTTTCCCCACGTGCAACTTGCTCCCTTCTTCACGTCCAATATGCACTATTTTCTCGTGCATCAAATCCGTATTTAAGTAATTTAAGTAATTTTAAGTAAGAATGGCAAGAAGACGAATA